GTATGTGTGTGGTTTGGGTGGCTGCGGAGTATGTTCGTGTTTGTCTCCTTGTGATAGCCCGGAACTGATGCCGGCTTTATAATACTACCTCACTGAAACATACTGCCGAAGACACCCAGCAGGACACCCCACCCGGTCACATTATACTGACAACGGGCGAACCAGTCGTCCCACTCCTAAATTGCTGAACGTTTTAAGCAGGAATAGAAACTACCATTTTTACAGACTCTGGTATGTCTTGGCCAGGGGACAGAACCCAAAGCCTTCCTCTCAGGGGCAAACGCTCAACTAAAGGCCAAAAGTGAGGCGTTGTCAGGGGAGACATTAGGAAGTAGAAAGATGTTAAGGAAGAAGAGAAAGGATAACATTCCAAATTTAGTCGCCTCTTACGATCATGCAACGGGGGCAGCAGGTACAGTTCTTACGTCTTACCTTCAGGGACTCCTTACCATAAAACAAAAGGCAGACATAACTAGCAGTTACATTTAAGCTGAAGAAATTGGTTTGTTAATATGATCGAGAAACCAACCAATATTAGGCAATCCTATCTTTCAAGAGACGACCATTTTCTCATCTTCAAATGGTTTTTGCTAAATAAATAAATACTTACGAGACCATCTCTATTAAGATAAACCACTTTGGGGCCTTCCTTTGAGGATCTGTTTTGACTGTAAGTTTTGTATACTGTACACAAAAAACTTTTCGTTGCATCTCAGCTTTCGCCTTTTTCGACCTCTGTAATGGGGGCTTATTTATCACGACAGTAAAAATAAGTACAAAACATACTTTACATAGTAATAGCATGTGAAGGGCGAAATTAATAATTTGGGAAATCAGATTTTACCAGTAAGGGCGAAAATTTGACTTGGCAAAAGTTTCTCCCGCTATACAGTAATATCTGGTATCAAATAGTGCAAGAATATCTGGTATCGAATAGTGCAAGAATATCTGGTATAGAATAGTGCAAGAATATCTGGTATAGAATGGTGCAAGAATATCTGGTATAGAATGGTGCAAGAATATCTGGTATCGAATGGTGCAAGAATATCTGGTATCAAATGGTGCAAGAATATCTGGTATTGAATGGTGCAAGAATATCTGGTATCTAATAGTGCAAGAATATCTGGTATCGAATGGTGCAAGAAAATCTGGCATCGAATGGTGCAAGAATATCTGGTATCGAATGGTGCAAGAATATCTGGTATAGAATGGAGCAAGAATATCTGGTATCGAATGGTGCAAGAAAATCTGTCATCGAATGGTGCAAGATTATATGGCATCGAATAGTGCAAGAATATCTGGTATAGAATAGTGCAAGAATATCTGGTCTAGAATGGTGCAAGAATATCTGGGATAGAATGGTGCAAGAATATCTGGTATAGAATGGAGCAAGAATATCTGGTATCGAATGGTGCAAGAAAATCTGGCATCGCATGGTGCAAGATTATATGGCATCGAATGGTGCAAAAATATCTGGTATCGAATGGTGCAAGATTATATGGCATCGAATAGTGCAAGAATATCTGGTATCGAATGGTACAAGAAAATCTGGCATCGAATGGTGCAAGAATATCTGGTATTGAATGGTGCAAGAATATCTGGTCTCTAATAGTGCAAGAATATCTGGTATAGAATAGTGCAAGAATATCTGGTCTAGAATGGTGCAAGAATATCTGGGATAGAATGGTGCAAGAATATCTGGTATCAAATAGTGCAAGCATATCTGGTATCAAATAGTGCAAGAATATCAGCTGGTATCGAATCCTGCAAGAATATCTGGTATCGAATAGTGCAAGAATATCTGGTATAGAATGGAGCAAGAATATCTGGTATCGAATGGTGCAAGATTATATGGCATCGAATGGTGCAAAAATATCTGTTATCGAATGGTGCAAGAATATCTGGAATCGAATGGTGCAAGAATATCTGGTATCAAATGGTGCAAGAATATCTGGTATTGAATGGTGCAAGAATATCTGGTCTCTAATAGTGCAAGAATATCTGGTATAGAATGGAGCAAGAATATCTGGTATCGAATGGTGCAAGAAAATCTGGCATCGCATGGTGCAAGATTATATGGCATCGAATGGTGCAAAAATATCTGTTATCGAATGGTGCAAGAATATCTGGAATCGAATGGTGCAAGAATATCTGGTATCGAATGGTACAAGAAAATCTGGCATCGAATGGTGCAAGATTATATGGCATCGAATAGTGCAAGAATATCTGGTATCGAATTGTGCAAGAAAATCTGGCATCGAATGGTGCAAGAATATCTGGTATTGAATGGTGCAAGAATATCTGGTCTCTAATAGTGCAAGAATATCTGGTATAGAATGGAGCAAGAATATCTGGTATCGAATGGTGCAAGAAAATCTGGCATCGCATGGTGCAAGATTATATGGCATCGAATGGTGCAAAAATATCTGGTATCGAATGGTGCAAGATTATATGGTATCTAATAGTGCAAGAATATCTGGTATCGAATTGTGCAAGAAAATCTGGCATCGAATGGTGCAAGATTTTATGGCATCTAATGGTGCAAAAATATCTGGTATCGAATGGTGCAAGATTATATGGCATCGAATAGTGCAAAAATATCTGGTATCGAATGGTGCAAGATTATATGGCATCGAATGGTGCAAAAATATCTGTTATCGAATGGTGCAAGAATATCTGGTATTGAATGGTGCAAGAATATCTGGTATCGAATGGTGCAAGATTATATGGCATCGAATGGTGCAAAAATATCTGTTATCGAATGGTGCAAGAATATCTGGTATTGAATGGTGCAAGAATATCTGGTATCAAATGGTGCAAGAATATCTGGTATTGAATGGTGCAAGAATATCTGGTCTCTAATAGTGCAAGAATATCTGGTATAGAATGGTGCAAGAATATCTGGGATAGAATGGTGCAAGAATATCTGGTATCAAATGGTGCAAGAATATCTGGTATTGAATGGTGCAAGAATATCTGGTATCGAATGGTGCAAGAAAATCTGGCATCGAATGGTGCAAGAATATCTGGTATAGAATGGAGCAAGAATATCTGGTATCGAATGGTGCAAGAATATCTGGTATTGAATAGTGCAAGAATATCTGGTATCGAATAGTGCAAGAATATCTGGTATCGAATGGTGCAAGAATATCTGGTATCGAATAGTGCAAGAATATCTGGTATCGAATAGTGCAAGAATATCTGGTATAGAATGGTGCAAGAATATCTGGTATCGAATGGTGCAAGATTATATGGCATCGAATAGTGCAAAAATATCTGGTATCGAATGGTGCAAAAATATCTGGTATCGAATGGTGCAAGAATATCTGGTATTGAATAGTGAGGATTCACCTTAGTAAAATCAACATTTGTATGTACCGTAATAAAATTCAGCACTACAGGCTTTCTCATTTTTATGATATTCTCATCATGTAGCTGATAATTTGTATTTTTTTTTGTATAAAATGTTTTCCTTCTGAAAGTTGATGTCAGTATACTGGGTTTAAAATTCTTAGTGAAGAGAAGCACTGTTCATGCAATCAGAAACCTGCAATATTGATTGGTTTATAGAAATCTTACTTCTCATTAATACTTTAGAAAATAAAATGTTCAACCTATCTTGGTTAAATTTCTTGTTCCAATTAGATTACAAAATTGTGCCAAATCTATGCATGATTTTATAATCATATTATATAAAATATGTAAGGCTATGAAGGAAAAGCAGAGTTGATCTTTCAGAATCTTACAAATAACCTTGAATAAAATTGTGGCAAATCCATTCAAATGTATAACAAAGAAAGTGCAATGTTGATGAAATAAACCCAATGCCCTCTACATTTCTGATTAGCACTGAGATTATGGAAAGTATTAGTGATTAACACTGTGATTGATGTATACTCTAAGAGTATGATTTCACCCTGAGGAGATGTTGCTATATATCATTAGCTGAAATGCGGTTAAAGTCTGAAACCCAAAATTATAAGAGAATAAACTAGATGACACTAGTGTAGAAAATATAATAATAATGGAAGAGAAAATGTGCAAGTAGCTGGGGGCTCTCAATAGAATGGAGCAAGAGTATAACACATTCATTCAATTTTGGCTTTAAATTCTAGGGGAATTCACCCCCAATCTCAACATAGTTTTATATTAGTGTGGGGATGCGGCTTCTCTTGTATCACAGGAGTCTAGCTGCTCTCATCATGGCTTCTCTAAGGGTGTTCACAACCAGAGTCTAGTCGCTTCGAATTCTCTGGAGACATTTTCAGAGTCTAGCTGCTTCTCTCAACACCCCCGGAGTCTAGCTTATTCAAAAATAGTAGCATAAATATATGGTAGTAAAATTGTTGGAGTGAGTAGCCCCTGATGCGCCAAATTAATTCCTTTATGTAAATATGGTGCTAACAAGAGTAATAAACAGGTTAACTGTTTCTTGTGTGTTAGTTGTATATAAAGGCCTTGAATAGAGAAGTCTGTGATAAGAGAACAGGTTGAATTATACGAGGATGGAGGAGAAATAACTGCAAGTAGGAACGACCTTGAATAGAGAGATCTGTGACGATATAGCCTACAGGGTGTGTCAAGACGCAGGGCAACATGCTGACAGGAGCAAGATGTGGATGTAAAAGTCTACCGTCTACCAATAAAACTACTCCTCTAGAACCGTAAACCAGTTGTATTTGTTCATTTCAGAAGATAACAATATTAGAAATTCAATATTTCTGTGAACCCTGAGGTTCTGGTAATCTTGTTCCTAGTCTTTATTATGTTTAAAGACATAGTGTTTCTGAATTTTTGTTTTTTTTAAGACAATAATATTACTTCAGCAGGGGAAAAGCTCACCATTACTTCTACAAACTGGCAAGAATATTGACAGATCATCACCATCAATTTAAAGCATGTTTTTTATCGGTGATTAAATTGAATCAACACCTGGTATAGATTTACGTTATTGATAGTATATAACAGGAGCTGTCTCTACAAACCACATAGACTCTTACCTGACAAAACACTTTTCTAGCCATATTCTCATAGAACACCCCAACAATTATTCTTGCATCTTGTCTCTGAAATGACAAGAAAGAGAGCATAAGTATGATTGATGACAAGGTACAGGAAACAACAAAATCAATTATCATTAAAATATTGGTAATTACATTAACCAGTATGCCAATTCAGCAGTACTGCGAGAACAAAAATCAAAATTGTACAATACTAAATGCTGTATGTAGATTTCATATTGGCCACCAATCAACTATGAAACTAGGGTAGCAATTCATTTTGTACCAATCAAAATTAAAAGATTGACATTTAACGGTCAGTGATCATAAAAGCAGGTCTAGAGTGTAATAAAAATTCTACCGCAATTCTCATTATATGGATTTTTCAATACTGCATATGACATTTCTGGTAAATATGTTGTATTGATCATTACAAGGACCTAATGTGTTAGGTGATGAGGAGGATGGCAAGGAAATCACCCAATCAGTGGGGGTCGTCACTGGAACAGTGGCCATGACCTTCTACGACAGACACTTGTTTGGACTGTTAAGTAATGTCATCTGGACAAATTAGTGCAAATTGTTTATAGAATATTGACACACATAACCAAAATAGGCCCAAAGTATTAATTATCAGGACATTTTCAGGAAAATAATTATCTACAGTGGTTCTGTGATGCCGAAGTAAGGATGACTAGACTACTTCATTTTTAAAATACATAAGTTTAAGACATTTTGTGCTGCAAAGATTGTGTCCTTGAGTAAAGACTGGACACCTTAATGACATTCATGGAGTCCTCGTCAATTACGGGTCATTATACCAACACGCTTAGCACAAAAATATTTAGGTGTAACCCTATAATCTATCTTGTACCAAAAAACTTTCAAACAGAAAGTCAATCGCACAGAACATGTGAAAGCCATGGTTTTATGGTGTATGGCAGCTATAGACAGATACTTGAAGCCAACTTTCACCGTGGAACACCTATCAGCTACCACATAAACCACCCTGGCTTTTCTACCACAGGAAATGAAGTGATCAGTTCCACAGAAATCTCCGTGTCATAACTCTGTACACACAACATTAAATGTACATGACAATGCAAGCTTCGATCATTTCAATGTCATTAGCAAGAAACTAAGGACCTAAGGATACAATATAAACTTGTTCTAAAACTTCATGGCAAACAACTCCTTGGCTCTAATATACCATAACAATCAGAAGCTTTTTTGTTTATTTAATGTAATAGAAAAAGATTTAAACATTCTTCTCCAAGTCAGTCAAAATTATATAAAGGTTCCATGTTTGACAGTTTTTTCCAACTATCACTAGGAACTCATTTATATTTTCATTTTTCACTACTTGTAGTCCTGTACACACCTCCATAGGATTTGTAACGGATCGATATTGCAAATCCTAACAAATCCAGACAACTTTATTGCGTTTTCAAAAATTCAATTTGTTACACATGATCCATCTAGGTACGATGACTATAAATCTAGCTACAGACCAAATACCATGACACTAGGCCTTATGGTTCTGAAGTTGAACTTATTTGATGATTTTACTTTGGCTTCATATTTTGTCCCTATGACCTTGACTGAAGATCAAGTCATTTATTTGATAGCCTTCCTCTGATCTAGCTGTAGGCTAAATATAATTTCCCTAAATCTTTTTCTTGAGAAGAAATGGAAAATTTGTTTGTTCACAAATGATGATGGACAAAGATGGATGGCAACTGGTCAAGACTGAGGTGACCTACAAATAAATTGAACTTAGAAATTTAGTTTTTTAATCAAGCTGACTTGTAATGAACACAGTGACTCTGGGGTTCCAATAGAATCTGTTATTAACCATTGTTACTGAAAAGGAACTCAATTGGTGCCTGCGTATAAGTGTTATACATCTGGGAAAAAAGCCCGTCCTCCGCAGAGTGTCAAATTGTGGATTGGCCAAGTACCCCCATAACAGATTAGAAGAACCAGACATTTGATCTCAATCATAGCTGATAAACTTACATTTGGTAATGTCTGGGCAAAGTGAAGTGATCTAAGCAGAACCTAAATATGGTAAAACGGAGTCAGGTGTTTCTCATTAATGATATGTCATTTCTGTATCTACAATTCCGTCCATTGTCCACTCTCAACATAACTCATTTACGCAGCCAAGATAATCATGTCTGTCTCGGTGAAAACCTCTTCTATTTGTCAGTCAGTCTTAAGCATGACAGCTTTCTCCATCTTACCATGCAAGCTAAGAACTAGCTATCACACTTTCCAAGGTACAAAGGCAAAATGCAACATACGTTTGCTAACCTATACATACATGTACATACCGTATACCAGGACATTTTCGATGCAGGTTAATTTTTGCCTTTTTTGCCCTCCATAATGAGGGCAAATTTATTATAACAGCAAACATAATAATAAGCAACATAATATACCTTGATATTGAATGTGCTGGGCAAATCTAAAATTGACAAAAAAATGATTTACCATTGACGGGCAGAAATTTGACAGGGTGAAAACTTCCCAGTATACAGCAGGTACTACTGATGAAACAGTTTTACAGTTAATGCGTTTTCTGCGTTAATTTGAAGTAGTGGATTTTCCCCCAGTTATGAATGTTTACTGAATATGTAGGTTCATAAAAACATAGAAATATCTCTTTATAGTAGAATGTCTGGTTAAGACAGGTGTCTCGACTATACAGGGTTCACAACACCGGATTTCCAACTATAAGATTTCAGCTTATTACTTTTTTGCTGATGAGATATTGAATTTTACAAACTTGATAAAACTGATATCTTTCACACTGCGACAGATAACAAAAGTGACATTTGCCACCGTGTGAATATATCACTTTTGGCAATGACCAACCAAAATGCTTTTTTGTTTTTTTCAATCAACTGCAACCAAAGCCCCAGATTTGCTAGTCTGATGCAGATGAAGCACATAAGATATTTATCCATCAACACAATGGTAATATTTTGTAAGCTAATTCTCCCATAAATTAGCAAAACATGGTAGAATAGCCAATAGTATCACATTCAGAATGACGTGCAGCATTGTTGTTAAGTGTGATATGATCAGATTATTAGTGACAAAGATTACACTATGAAACACCTCAGTGTTTAATGATGAAAGTGTAATGGTTCTTCAATCGAATACCATGTCTTTTTTCCCATTGACATATGAAAGAATATACTATCATTTTCACATGCAACTGTGGAAAATATCTGTAATCTGCCAATATATCAAATATATGGCATTCAATGGGAAATGAATTGAACACCCTTTCTGTATGTCGTGATTTGAGATTTGTTCACCCTTAATTAGGTTGTCTGCGACTGACATGGTAGTTTGATGGGTTTTATGATGCCTTCCCTTTTATTTTATTGTGTCCTCTGTGGTTGTAGCTGTTCTCCTGTTTGTGTTATGTGTACCAACTTTGAAATGTTTTTTTCTGCTTTAATTTATTATGTAATTTGGTTGAAATGTATTCCAAAATGTGTGAGTTGATTGCAAAATTCTGCTTTTTGTGTGTAGACATCTGCTGCTATCCTTGCCATAATCAATGTGTTTACTTACTTTATACAAAAAATGTAGTTTATAACAAGTGATGTCATCTGATTTGTCACCATGTTACAATAACAAAACATGTTTAATATCTCTGATAAAGGAGTAACAGAGTACCAAGAAGTTTATCGAGAATAACATATCTATAGAGCACCCCAGGGAAACATTTACATATGTATCATGATACAGACAGCAGATCATGTTTTACTAATAGATCAAATATGTCCTTCTAGACCTCACTGTCCATCTTGTTGTGACATACACATATATAATAATATCACTTCTGTCTAGAGACCACTGTCTGACAAATTATCTTGTCTTATTACCCCAGTAAGTGGTGATTTGTTTCTTTGTTACTGGACAAATACATATTGCCACTTCAACATGTGATCTAACAGCTGGATCCTTAAGGAATTGACGTTTCTGACAGTAAACAATGATAACGTCACAGTGTTCTATATTTTGTAAGTGTATTTATTGTGATAATCTTGAACCTTCATTTATCCCCTTAACATGTAATATGCTGTGCAGCATTGAAGTTAACTGTTATAGTTATCAATGGGTAGCTGATGAGAAGGTGATTGCTATGGTTACTACTGGTTGGATGATGATAAAGGTGGTTGCTATGGTTGATATGGTTACTACTGGTTGGATTATGATAAAGGTGTTTGCTATGGTTACTTGATGATAAAGGTGATTGCTATGGATACTACTGGTTGGAGGATGATAAATGTGGTTGCTATGGTTACTACTTGTTGAATGATGTTAAAGGTGTTTGCTATGGTTACTAATGGTTGGATGATGCTAAAGGTGGTCGCTATGGTTATTACTGGTAGAATGATGATAAAGGTGGTCACTATGGTTACTACTGGTTGAATGATGATAAAGGTGTTTGCAATGGTTACTACTGGTTGGGTGATGATAAAGGTGGTTGCTATGTTTACTACTGGTTAAATGATGATAAAGGAGGTTGCTATGGTTACTACTGGTTAAATGATGATAAAGGTGGTTGCTATGTTTACGACTGGTTAAATGATGATAAAGGTGGTTGCTATGGATACTACTGGTTGGAGGATGATAAAGGTGGTTGCTATGGTTGCTACCTGTTGGATGATGATAAAGGTGATTGCTATGGTTACTCCTGGTTGAATGATGATAAAGGTGTTTGCAATGGTTACTACTGGTTGGATCATGATAAAGGTGGTTGCTATGGTTGCTACCTGTTGGATGATGATAAAGGTGATTGCTATGGATACTACTGGTTGGAGGATGATAAAGGTGGTTGCTATGGCTACTATTGGTTTGATGATGATAAAGGATGATAAAGGTGGTTGCTATGGTTATTACTGGTAGAATGATGATAAAGGTGGTCACTATGGTTACTACTGGTTGAATGATGTTAAAGGTGTTTGCTATGGTTACTACTTGTTGAATGATGTTAAAGGTGTTTGCTATGGTTACTACTTGTTGAATGATGATAAAGGTGT